TCTCTCTCTCTCTCTCTCTCTCTCTCTCTCTCTCTCTCTCTCTCTCTCTCTCTCTCTCTCTCTCTCTCTCTCTCTCTCTCTCTCCCCTGCACTGATCTCACCTTCAACAATCAATCTTGGTAAACCTACTTTTCTGTATACCCATCCATCTATCTGGAGCCAAGGGACTGGGACATCCCTACTCCTCCTTGCCTGTATATCTATCTGCATCTATCTGAAGCCCAGAAAGTTGGAGATTCCTAAGTCAAGTGTAAAATACAGGTAGGTCCTGCGCTATCATGAAGGGTTGAAGACAAAGCACTTGGTTGAGAACTCTCTAAAGCACCATATCCAAGTTGATAGGTGGATTTTTACTGCCCTGATCAGCCCCTGACGAAGCCCCACCTCCATTCTCCCCGGGATTTGATGCGGCTGTGTCGTCTAAGGACTTCCTCTCCAATTCATCCCTCGTGTCATCTGCGTCTTGGTTCTCTGACAAACCTTTCATTTGCTTGGTCCCGAAGTCCTCGCAAGGTGAAAGCACAGTCTCTGCATTGACCTGCTGTGATTGCGCTTGATTAGGAGCTGGTAGCTCCGACACAACTCCTGCTTCATCGACTTCAGTCTGAGGAGGCACATGCACAAACCCACGGTTCAAACTCAAGTTCAGTAAATTTCCTTCCATTCCTTTCCCATGTCCCGAGGGTCAGTTCTGAACGGAACTAATCCCTCCATATGTAATTTACAAACTGTTTTTTGGGGGGGAGGAAGATAATTTTACAGACTTGAAACTTGACAATTGGTACCAATGAGATGAAGTCCCATTCCTATAAATCTGGGCCACGGTCCCGCTTACCTGGGTGTTTTGTCTTTTTCTGTGTCGAACCCCGGTTGGACAGGGGATCCCTCCCCTGACCGGGAGCCTCCCAGTTGCCCGTCCCGGTTGGCTCCCAGTTCCCCCCCGCGCATTTCTGCTGTGGGCGGGAAACTTTTTTTTCGTCGGCCTAAGTTTATCTTCGGGGCTCGTAAGCCCCACTGCTGATAAAAAAAACAACGAATTGGGGCCGGTAGGCCCATCAATGGGCAAAAGAAAAGCCAGCCAATCTTGGCCACTGATCTTTGTTGATGAGTGGCCAAGATCGACCGCGATTCAAATGGGAGCGGGCGCTGGACTTCGGCATGAAAGACTGCTCTGCCCCAGCCCCCTGCTTCAAACTTCGATGGAAGTGTTCACCCAGCGCCGTGCGACCCGCCATAACGTTAGTCCGTCAGAGATGCGCCGGGCAAGCCTGCCATTGTCGTCGTTGAGTTGCCCCCCTCTTCTTTCCGCAGCGCGGGCCCACCATCGCGACTTCAGGGGGGAGAGAGAGAGAGAGAGAGGTGCAAGGCTCCTCTCTTCTTCTTCTTCTCCTCCTCCTCCTCCGCCTCTACTTCCTCCTCTCCTATTCATCATCATCATCGCCATCTTCTCCTCTTCTTCTTCTTCTTCTTCTCCTCCTCCTCGTCCTCCAATTCTTCCTCCTCTCGTATTCATCATTATCATCGCCATCTCCTCCTCCTCCTCCTCCTCCTCTTCTTCTTCTTCTTCTTCTTCTTCTTCTTCTTCTTCTTCTTTTTCTTCTTCTTCCCCTCCTCCTTTTTCTTCTCCTTCTCCTCGTCCTCCACAACTTTTTCCTCCTGTCCTATTCATCACCATCATCATCATGTCCTCCTCCTCCTCTTCTTCCTTCTCTCCTTTCCTCTCCTTTAGTCGTCTCCACTCCCCTTCAATTTTATTTTTTTTTGTTTGTTTGGGTAGGTGAAAAGGTGACCCCCGCCCGTCGACAGAACCCCCAACCTGCGCCTTCTCCCCCCCATGCGCGGCATCATTATGCGAAGGATTAAACCCCTGCCCCTCACCGTCCTCCACCTCCCACTCCTCTTCTCCTTCGCAGTGTGTTCTTCTTCTTCTCCTCTTGCTCTACCTCTTCTCCTCCTCCTCCACCTCCTCTTCTTCTTTATCCTCCTCTCCTCTTCTTTTCCTCCTCCGGTCACCTTTGTTTTCTTTTCTTTTTTTCTTGGAAGAAAACTTACAAAAACGTCTAACAGTCCCCCTTCCTTTTCTTTTCTGAGAAAAGTTCAGAAAACCCCTACCCGTCCTCTGCCTCGTACTCTTCTTCTCCTCCTCCGCATCTTCTTCCTCTCCTTCTCCTCTTGTCCTCCTCCTCCTCCTCCTCCTCCTCCTCTTCTCCCCCTCCATGTCTTCTTCTTCTCCTTCTCCTCTGTTCCTCTTCTTCTCCTCCGT